TTTTGAGTTTTTAGTTGACACAGGAGTTGAGAGAACATGTGTAGATAAAGGGATGTGAGAAGAACTAAGAATCTTTGCAGGTAACAGGAGCAAAAGGAGAAGGCTTTCAGGTGCCTGTTATCAAACAGGTAACCTTTGAAGGGAGTCATAAAACAGGAATGGGAGACATATTATTGGTACCACGGGCAGGATGTAATCTCCTTGGGAAGGATTTGCAAGTACAATTTGGAATTGGAGTGTTACCAAAAGAAGGGGAAATGGTAGTGAAACTGTTCAAATTAAAAGCAGATGATGAAAAGAAAATAAACCCGATTGTATGGGCAGGACTGAGAATCGGGGAAAACTAGACATGATGCCCATTACGATTACAATAATTGATGAAAGTCACCCAGTCTGAGTTCGTCAATATCCTATCTCCTCAGAAGGGTAAGGAGGGTTATATCTCATTATTGACTCTCTGATCAGGATGGAACTCTGGAATTGTGTATGTCTCCTCACATTACCCCAATACTACCCGTTAGGAAATCAGATGGTACCTACAGACTAGTACAGGATCTGAGAGAAGTGAATAAAAGGACTATTGACTGATATCCCATGGTTCCTAAGCTATACACTCTTTAAAGTAAGATACCATCTTCACATTAATGTGCAGTGTAATAGATCTTAAAGATGTTTTTGGGGTTTGTCCTTTGGCTGAGGAGAGTTGGGATATTTTTGCTTTTGAGTGGGAGGATCCTAACATGGGACAAAAACAACAACTGAGGTGGACAAGATTACCCCAAGAGTTTACAGAATGCCCAAATTTGTTTGGGCAGGCCGTAGAAGAGACCCTGCGATTCTCTACCCTGAGTCCTGAAATTAAACTCATACAATATGTAGATGACTTGTTACTTTCAGGGGCTGAGGAAGGAGAAGTTAAGGAAGCCACAATAGGTCTTCTAAATTTTCTAGGAACCCAGGGATTGAGGGTGTCAAAAAAAAATCCAATTTGTGGAGCAGGAGGTCCAGTATTTGGGTCATATAATTAGTAAAGGCAGCCAACAGTTACATCCAGGAAGGGTTACAGTGATTGTCTCAATGACTAGACCAAAAAAAAAAAAAAAAAAAAAGGCAGATTTTAGGATTACTAGGATATTGCTGATTGTGGATTGAGGGATACATCCAGGCTGTTAAAATTTTGTATGAAAAGTTAGTTGAAGAGGAGATAATCTGGACAGAGGAGGATGAAAACAGAACTGAAGAATTAAAACAAAAATTGATAACTGCCTCTGCCCTCAGCCTTCCTGCTCTAAAAAAGCCCTTTCACCCATTTGTGAATGTGGACAATGGGGTGGCCCATGGGGTCCTAACCCAGGATTGGGGAGGATCTAGAAAACCTGTGGCATACTTGTCTAAATTGTTGGATCCTATTAGCAGGGGGTGCCCCTTGTGCACTCAAGCTGTAGCTGCTGCATCACTGCTGATAGAGGAGAGCCGGAAATTAACCTTTGGGAAAAAAGTTATGAGTATATATTCCCCATTCAGTAAGAAATATCTTAAACCAAAAGGCTGAAAAGTGGCTTACAGACTCTCAGATACTCAAATGTGAGGCCATATTAATAAACAGGGATTACTTTGAATTAGTTACAGAAAAGTATTTAAACCCAGCTGAATTCCTATATGGGGAACCAGTCAGAGAATTAGAACATGACTGTCTGGACATAACTGAATACCAAAGCAAGGTGAGGCAGGACCTGATTGACCAGCCTCTCCAAGGAGGAAAGGTCCTGTATATAAAGGGCTCCTCAAGGTATATACAAGGGCAATGGAAACCCAGGTATACCATCAGAAATAAACAAAAGATGACAATAATTGAAAAAGGGAAGTTGCCCTCAGACTAGTCAGCCCAAGCTTGTGAGTTGCATGCTTCAGTCTGGGCTTTAAAACTACTAGACCATGAAAAAGGGACAATCTATACTGACTCAAAATATGCCTTTGTAATAGTGCACACTTTTGGAAAAATAAGGGAAGAAAGAGGGCTGCTTAACTCAAGAGGGAAGGGACTGATACATGAAAGGTTGATCCTGATTAAGCCCTGAGGTTACCAGAAGAGATTGCTGTAGTCCATATTAAGGGTCACCAGAAGGGAAAGGCCATAGAGATCAGAGGAAATAATCTGGCCAATAGACAAGCAAAGGATGCTGCAAAAAATAGGAAGGAGAGAATTATGATAGTCCTAACATTAAAAGACAAAGAATCAGGGATTCCAAGGTTTAGTAAACCAGTAGAGGACAGAATGAGGGAGATAGGGGCAGAGAAGAATGATGCAGATATCTGGAGGCTCCCAGATGGAAGGCGAATGTTAAATAGACCCTGTACTAAAGAAGAATTAGACAGAATATACCAAAAGACCCATTGGGGTACTGAGCCCACTGTGATGAGTTTTTATAGAATTATGGGTGTGTAGGAGTCTTTGGAATAGCAAAACAAATAGTTGATAAATGTGGAGTTTGTCAAAAGGTGATCAAAAAGGCAATGAGAAAAGTAACCCCGGGAGGTCGGGAACTAGCCCTAAGATCCTTCCAAAGTATACAAGTGGACTTTACCGAACTTCCCAGATCCAGTGATGGGAATACTTACTGGTATTAGTGATCATTTGACTCATTGGGTCCAGGCAATACCTGCTGTGAGGGCCACGGCCAATATTATCTCAAAGATGCTGTTAGAACAAATTACTGCCCGGTATGGGATGGTGAACAGGATTGATTCAGATAGGATGACACACTTCACTTCCAAGGTTTTACAACAGATAGTCCAAGCAATAAAATGGGATTTACATGCACTATGGCACCCATAAAGTTTCTGATGGATTGAGAGGATTAATCAGGCCCTTAAAAGAACCTTGACTGAGTTAATGATTGAGACTCAAATGTCTTGGATAAGATGTTTACCCCTAGCATTACTATGGATTAGAATACAACCTTGGTCCGACCTAGGTATATCCTCTTATGAGATGTTGTTTGGGATACCCTTTTTAGATTCAACCCATGAAGCTGCAACCTATGAAGAGGAGGAAGTAATTGTCATGAAATATGTTAAGACCATAGCCCAAAATCTAGAGGACTTATGAAAATGAGGAATGATTCCCAAATTCCCCTCCTAAACTTCAAGATACATCACATAAAACCTGGGGATTGGGTGTTAATGAAATCCTGGAATTAACAACCATTGAAACCATAATGGGAAGGTCCCTTTCAAGTGCTAGTAACAACTGAGACTGCCATCAGATCCGCTGAAGAAGGGTGGACCCACGCTGGCCATGTCAAAGGACCTGTGGAAGAACCTGAGGAGTGGACTACAACATCTGAACCAGGTGATACAAAACTGACTCTTAAACAAGGATTAAGAGGTAGCGAACTGAGTTGATCCAACTAATCCAGAGAATGTTCTTAGGAGCACAGAAAATGGGGAAGGACAGCCAAGTTTGTATGGACTTTGAGATTCCTTGATTTCACACCAAGGAAAGACACATAATCTCCCAGCAGAAAGACCAGGACTGTATTGGTCAAAAGGGAGAGGGTCTAACGTATTGACATTAGTATGTGAAGTATTATTGTGGTTATCACTCTCTGTGGATGGAAACTACGAGAGTCTGTTAAATGGGAAGGTCTTGGAGGATTAGGAAAAGATCATAATGGAAAAAGTACTAAAGGCAACTGAAATTGGAAGATGGCAAAATAGGGAGAAGTAACAAAGGGATGGAGAGCAAGACCAGGTTGGCCTCTGTATACTTGCCACCAGGAAAATCATACACACCTGCTATAGGTAGCCACCCTATAAGGCATGGTGGGTGGAAGTAAGAGCCATACCGGACCTCTGTTACTCACATTTTTATCTGTCATTTGCCTTTTATTACAGAGGACTACCCATATCATGAGAGCCATCAATCATTTTCTCAGGGAGACTCAAGGTTTTTGCTGCCCTGAACCACGTCAACAGATACTGTTAGAACTCATTCATGTATAGTTCAAGTTTATATAATCAGATATAAGGAGAACAAGTTAGGAGAAGTTGATTTTACTAGACACTATATGAATTGATTCTGTATTATTGGATGTTGTAATATGGTTGATGTTAGGTTGGACAATTTTAAGTAAATATGGTTAATGTTGGGTTGGTCAGTTTCAAGTGCTGTAATGAAATTGGAAATGAGACTCATTTGCATGAGCCAAATAAATGAGGTATCAAGAGAAAAAGGGGAGCTTGTTATGAATAAGATGTAGTGATGGGCTCATCCAAATGATGAGGAGTTATTAAGTATGGTGAGAAGAAGTTCTGTTAAGGTTTACAGTTCTTTTGACATGTACTTCTGTTGTTCCAGTTTGGTTTTGAATTGTTTTCTGCTCTCCCTCCAATCCTCCCCTCCCCCTGTGTGGTTGCTGCCTGGCAGCTTTAGCCAACAGGGCTGTCAAAAATGTCGGGGAGGGCACACACTTGCCCCTTGCAAGAGGTGGCAGAGAGTGGGGGACACTTGTTGCTGGGAGGCTTGGCAGGGTAACATCTCACCACCAATCAAGATGCAAGAGGGGCTCCACAACGAGAGGCACAGAGGACTAACTGACAGACCTTGGGAGGAGCCAAATCTACTTATAAGAATGAGGTCATGGACCCTAGGAGGAGCCAAGTATATATATATATGGGCAAAGGCACAGACTGTGGGAAGTGCTGGGAGGATATAAAAGGACTGTGTATGAATATTAATGTGGCTGATGCAACCTTGAATATATAAAAGGCAAAGACACTTTTGTGAGCTGAGCTTCTGGTGAGCAAAGAGAGTGTCACTATGCTCCTAGCACTGTCTCCTCTTTGCTTTGTAACTTTGACGGGTTCTAATTAAATTTTATTTACTCATTCCTGTCCAGGGGTTCAATCATTTATACAGTGATGAGCTGATCTCTGCTGAGTGAGGAAAGGCTGTGTCCTCAGCTGCTCCCAAAGCCCTGGGCATGTCCCTGTCCCACTCAGTCGAAGTTGTAGTAAAGGCAAAAGGCGAAGAACATGGCAAAGATCTGGAATGATGGAGGTGGGGAAAGGTCAGCCCCATAGCAGGGCCGGGCCAGGCCAGGCCTGGCTGCAGTTGGAAGCAGAGAGGAGCAGGAGGATCCCTGGCCTGGGGCCATCACTGTGCCCCTCAAGGGGCCTGGGCCAGCTCTCCTGGTGCTGCACAGGGACACCAGGGACATCAGGGTGAGGAGACCCAGGGGGAGTAAAACAAACCTTTCCTTGTTCCTTCACCTGCCCTATCTGCAGCAGAGAGCAGGCTCAGTACCCCGAGACAGACCTGAGCCCATTTATGTTCTCCTTGCCCACTGAGCCACCCCCTTGCCACAAAGAGTGGACATTCTGCCTGCCCTGTCCCCGGCCCCCCTCATTACCTCAATGCCTAGCACAGCCAAGCTGCAGGTCCCAGGGAGGGAGATGTACTTCTGCAGGGTCTTGCCGAAGGTAGAGAAGCAGCCCTGGGGCAGAGAGAGGAGGGAGGGGCTCTCTCATGTTCCCCATTGCCATGGAGGGCTCAGAGAGGGACTGGGTTGTTGGGGGATGTGGAGGGTCCCTTGTGGGGCAGGATGAGGTGAAGACTTTGGGAAGCACTGGACTGTTGAACCACAACCAGGCAATGTCCCTGGTTTCTGTCCCTTATGCTCTGCTCCATGAGCCTGGGAAGGGCTGAGGCTGGGACAGGTACACAGACACAGCAGAGTTGTGCCATACCTGCTCATGGATGTAGCCAGGGCTTCTGTCCTGGCACTGTTCCCAGCCCAGGAGCTCTCCCGCCTGCAGAAGCCCATCCCGGGCACAGCATGCTTGTGGCCATGGCATGCCTGGGTGCAGCTCTTGGAAGCGGGAGCCATTTCCAAAGTCTTCAGGTCCTAAAACACCACAGCACGAGAACTGGAACAGAAGGGAAACATCATCACTGTGGTCACCCTTGATAGATCCTGTGTGTCCCCCAGGAGCCTCCCAGCTGCTCACCGTGACCATGAGGGTGTTCCAGGCTGTGGAGAAAACCTCAGCACCCTCGTCCCCACCATAGTTTCTCTGCAGCTCAGACAGGAAGTGTTCAGGCTGGACCTGTGGAATTGGTGCCAGGGCTGGGACTGTTCCTCTTCCACTCTGCTCAGGACTAGCTCCTTTTGAGAATTGGGCACTTAGTGGACTTACCCCCCCCACACCCCCCCCCCCCCCCGCCCCGCACCTGCTCTGCAGTTTGTATTGTGGTAGTGATGATGGAGGTGAGAGGAAGGGTGTCCCTGCACGAGCCCCAGTTGCCTGGTGGACTCAGAGCCATGGCCATGGCATGCAGAGGGAGGCTGGTGACACTGGGGATGGTGCCGGTACCTGTTTCCAGTGCACCAGGAAGAGAACGGCCCCAATAAGCTGTGTGAGGAAGACGAGGCTGACAAGGATGAAGAACTGGAAGGCAGCAGGTGAAGGAGTCAGAAACCAGCCTGATCCCATCAGCAGCTTGCTCACATTATCCCTGCCCTCCTCTGCACCCACCCTGCCTGTACCCTGTGTCCCTGGACAGCTCCTGGGGACAGATGCCACATTTCTGACTACTGTGGCTGCAAGGCAGGGGTTAAAAACAAGCAGTATCTGCAAGGGACTAGGGATGCTGAAGAAATGGGGGTCTTGGTGCTCAAACAGGGGTTTTTATGCCTTTTAACAGCAGTGGGGTCATCCTGGAAATGCCATGTGATAAAAGCCAGTGGCTTCAGAGAGAATTGACCCTACTTGGTGGCTTTATCAATTGTCTGGGTTCTAAAGTGAGACTCACAAGGTGGGGAGTGGATGGCAGGACATGCTGAGGATGAGGAGCACCATCTCCTCACTCCTCCAGGAACACCTGGATCCCCTACCACCATCCAGCCCATGACTCCTGCCCCCAGTGCCCCCTGACCATATCCTGCAGCCCCTTCCCACCCATCTTTCCCCCCTCACCAGCAGTAGGAGTGGGCGGCTCCGGCGCAGGGCCCCGCAGCAGCCCAGGAAGCCCAGCAGGGACAGGGCAATGCCCACGACCAGCAGCAGCCACGCGCCTGCGCTCAGCACGGCCCTGGCAGCCACAATGTCTTGGAAACCGGCCGGGTCCACGACCACCCAGACTCCCATGCCTGCCAGGCATGTTCCCCCAGCCTGCAGGGAGAGGTCAGGAGATGATTATGGGCTCAAGCGATGTCCAAGGCTTGGGCCCCTCCTGGGAATGGGTGTCACCCACCCCTGAGCCAGACAGAAATGTCATCCCATGTGGATGGGGGATGCTTCAACCCTTGGTTCCCTCCCTGGGACCGGTGTCACCCACCCCTGAGCCAGATGGAGTTATCAGTCCCCAGGCATAGGTTCCCTCCACCTCTGCACCCCACAGGGCCCAGGGGGACTCACAAACACCAGCACGTTGAAGATGAACATCAGGTACTTCATGCAGCTCAAGACACCCATGGGGACACCAGTGGCGGGGGACACAGCAGTATTTGTCCCTATGGAGAGGAGAGCATAACCCTGGCCACAGCCAGCCCTGACTTGTCCTGGACCCCATGGCTCCAGCAGAATGTGGGGGGATGCAGCTTCTCAAAATTCCCAGATAATTTTCTATCCCCACCATCTCCCATGACACCCCAAAAAGCACCAGACCTGTGTCCTCTCCAAATCTGTGTCCCCTCCCAACAACATGTCCCCTTCAAACCCCATGTCTCCAGTCCTTTGTCCGTCTAAACCCTGTGTCCCCTCCAAATCTTGTGTCCCTTACAAACCCATGCCCCCTACAGATCTTATGTCCCCACCAAATGGCGTGTCCCCTACAAATTCCATGTCCACTCCAAAGCCATGTCCTCTCTAAATCCTGTGTTCCTTTCAGCCCCCACACCACTCACCCTGAGGGGATAGTGGGCGACCCAGGTACCTCCAGCCTTCCCTGGTGCTGCCAGCACCTATATAGCATCACGAAGGTCGGAAAATCTCTCCCCCCTTACGACTCCAGCAGTCCCCAAGAAATCTCTTCCAGCAGCAAGGCCATGAATGATTGATGGGGAACAGGATCCACCATTGTGCAGACGGCGGCTGGGAGTCTCCTGCTCTTGTCAGCCAAGGAAATTAAACCTGTGGGCACGGAAAGACGAGCCACCCCACCAGGCTGGGGTGACCTCGGCCATTGATAATTGCTGTGGGCATTCAGGAAAGCCCTCAATGGCCACATGCAGGCTATCAGCTGTTGGGACACAGGGACATCCCAGATGGATGACAGAGTCTGTCACCTCTTGTTGCCCACTTTAGGAGCTCCCTAAACACAGAGTCACGTTAGAAAGGAAACATTATTTATTCTGCACCAGGTACAGATCAAGCACACCGAAGGATAAAAGGTTAAATACAGTAAAATTTACATGAACCTGCATATCTAAAGCATATTCTTTGCCTGTCTAATGCATATTTGTTTTGGTGATGTGGCTTTACTCAGTGCTTGAAACACAAAGTTCTTCATTAAAGCATGTTCTGTTGGAGAAATGGAATTACGGCGGTCACGTTGGCAGAAGGTGAGAGCGTTCATCCTGGGGGCAGGAATTCACTGAGGGGCGGTACCCCGGGGTGCCACCAGGGGGCAACCGAGCGCGCGGCCACAAAGCTGAGCAGCGCGGCCAGAGCGGCTTCCGCCGGCACACCGGCGAGGTGACTCGGCCAATCGCAGCGGGCGGCGGCCGTTGGGGCGGGAGAAAGGAGAGACAGACAGTGCTTCTGACCAATCATAGCCCGCCGTTCTGCAGGGCGGAGCTCCGGTGGGGGCGCGGCCCCGAGGCCGGAACGAGCGCTGTGCGGTCCCGTTCCCTCAGCGTTGCTTCCGGTGCCGCCGCCGCCGCCCGCGGGATGTAGCGGCCGGTGAGGGACGGGCGGGGGAGCGATGTGCGCTGTTTCCAGCGCCCCGGGGAGAGCCCTGCCGCCGGTCCCCTCGGTCCCGGTAACTCTGTGCTTCTTCCCCCCCCAGCGCGGCGGCAGAAGGACGCGGAGGGACCTTCACCGGTGCCTCGGAGCCGCACGCATCCGCCGCCCCGATGACGTCCCGCAAGGCCCCCGCCGGGGCGGGCAGCGGGCTTGTGGCCGCCGGCCGAGACCGGGAGCGGGAGCGGGAGCGGGCGCACCTGGAGCTTGCCGAGCTGGGGCCGCTCCTTGAAGAGAAGGGGGACCAAGGAGCCACCGGCGCGGCCAGCGTGAGCCACTCCGAGACCCCCGGGCGGGAGGGGGTCCAGAGCCTGCCTCAGTCTCCCCGCTCCGTCTTCGCGGATTATCCCGGGAATCTGCCCGTTATCCCATTAATAGCTAGAGGAGTACGGCTCTGTATTGCTTCTCGGGCCGGTCCGTCTTCCGAGCCGGCCTAAACTCTGCTCCTGCCCAGCAGGCATGGAGCCGGGATAGTCCTTCACAGGGATGTCACCGGGATCGCTGTGTCTGTACCGGGTGTTTCCAGTGCCCCATCATTTTCACAGGGCCGGGCATCACCTTCCCAAACCCCTTTCCGGCTGAGGAGAGCGGGAGCTGTTCCAGGACCCAGAGCGTTCCCGGATCGGAGTTGCCTTTGCTCGGGTGGGCTGGCTTGGGTGTCCTGGCTGGGCCAAGTGGCCATTCCTGCTTTGGCTGTAGGGATAAAAATCCCCGGTGCTAATCCTGCTTTTCGACAGGATATATGTGGGATTTGCATGCTCAGGATAGGTCAGGCAGCAGCATGTTGCATAAACAAGGGTGACCGGTGTGTCCTGCTCATCCTGTCAGAGGGGTGAAGCCCCAGGTGCTTTCAGAAGGTCAGGGATTATTTCTCTCCTGGGGGCTGGAGTGATTCCCTCCTGGCTCTTCTCACTGCAGGCTGAGGACCCGCCATGCCCAGTGGCCCGCGAGGAGGAGGAGGAGGTGGTACGGGTGCTGACCCTGCCTCTGCAGGCTCACCATGCCATGGAGAAGATGGAAGAGTTTGTGTACAAGGTATCAGAGTCTGTGGCAATCCCCCAGTCTTGATTTTGGAATAGATTCCCCAATTCCCGGGTTTGAGGTGACAGGATGTGTCCGCGTAAAGCTCCATGTGGCTGCAGCTGGCTCCAGCTCTGCTGGGCTGCTCCCAGCAGCATCCCTGGGAATGGTGTGGGAAGGGGATGGCTTGGATGGGGGTTGGCCCAGCCATGGTGGATGAGAAACAATTCAGATGTTCCTGTGGGCCTGGATGGGACCTGGGAGTCCAAGTGCCGGCCGGGTTGTCACCCGGTGCCTGTAGTCACTGTGGCTCCTGTGCAAGAAGCTCCTTTGCAAGAATTCCCTGATCAAACAGGAATTCCTACCACAGGGAACAATCTGTGAGTGTGGAAGGGTTAAAGCTGAGGGTATTAATCACCCCTGACTTCCTGGGGGGTCCTTGTGGGAACTGAGGTGGGGGTCAAATCACTCCCTGGGGCAACTGGGAATCACTCCCTGGGAAGTTATGGAGAGCAAAGAGCAGGATGTAGGTAAGCGGCTTATAGCATCCCACAGGTCGCCTGATGTTGAAGGAGCCAAACTTCCTCTTACTGAGGAGCATCCCAGGGCTGGGCTGTTCCCCATGGGTTTGGGGCTCTGGGCTGCCCTGATCTCCCTGGTGTGTTGCAGGTGTGGGAAGGACGCTGGCGTGTGATCCCATACGATGTCCTGCCCGACTGGCTCAAGGACAACGATTACCTCCTGCATGGACACCGGCCCCCCATGCCCTCCTTCCGTGCCTGCTTCCGGAGTATTTTCCGAATACACACTGAGACAGGCAACATCTGGACACACCTGCTGGGTGACTGTGGGGAAGGGGGAGCCCTGGGGCTGGAGGTACTCAGACCGTGCATTAGGGTCAGAACAGGCTTGGTGCCAGGTCCTCTCCATGCCCAGGGCTCTCTGTGTGGATCCTGTGCATGCATGAGGATCTGACATGGAGTGCCTGGAGCCCCTTGGGAGAGAGGGACCAGGGCTGTGCTCAGCCACTCCAGGAGTGTGACAGGGAAATGTGTCCTGGACAAACACAAGAGAGCCTCAGAAGATGTTCCTCTGAAATGAGTCTGGAGGTGGCCGCAGAGATGCTCTGAGGGCTGGAGCCCTTCTGCTATGGAGCTGGGCTGGGAATGCTGGGAATACTTATCCTGAAGAAGAGAAAGCTCCAGGGAGACCTCAGAGCCCCTTCCAGTACCTAAAAGAGCTCAAGGAGAGCGGGAGAGGGATTTTGGACAAAGGCCTGGAGTCACAGGACAAGGGGGAATGGCTTCTCAGTGCCAGAGGGCAAGGATAGATGGGAGAGTGGAAGAAATTCTTCCCTGTGAAAATGATGGGGCCCTGGCCCAGGTTGCCCAGAGAAGCTGTGGCTGCCCCATTCCTGGAAGTGTCCACAGCCAGGTTGGCTGTAGCTTAGAGCAGCCTGGGATAGTGGAAGATGTCCTTGCCCATGGCAGGGGGTGGAATGTGGTCCCTTCCCACATAAACCATTCTGTGATTCCATGACCTTGTGAAACAGCAGCTCTTTGCCCTGTGCCTGCTCCTTCCCCCGACCCCAGCCGTTCTTGTTTGCACAAATAAAAGTCTCAGCCAAGGACCCACTGTGGGTTACTGAGCACCCCTGGGATACATCCAGGACCTCCAGGAGCATGGCCAGGGCTGTTCTTATCCTGGCTCTGCTGAAATCCCCCATTGTCCCCCTTACTTCCTTCTCCATGTGTTCCTGCAGGGTTTGTTCTGTTCCTCTGCCTGGGGATCCTGACCATGCTGCGGCCCAACATGTACTTTATGGCTCCTCTCCAAGAGAAGGTGGTGTTTGGGATGTTCTTCCTGGGAGCAGTGCTGTGCCTCAGCTTCTCCTGGCTTTTCCACACCGTCTACTGTCACTCAGAGAAGGTCTCACGGACTTTTTCAAAGTGAGTCAGCATGAGTGTGGTTGTGTGGTCTCCTGGGAGGTGTTGGGTTCTTGCAGCACTTCCTCTTGGAAAGCACTGTGTTCTCAAATGTTTTATCCCTGGGGGAAGGGACTGGCAAGCCAATCCAGCAAGGAACTGAGGGGAACCATAACAGGGTTCTGGAGGGTTCTGCCTGAGCACCTTATATGTGCCAGTTTAGGGGCCTCAGGTGCATGATAAAGATCCTGAGACCCTGCAGCTCCCAAGGGAACAGGCTCTATGCCCCTTGTAGTAGTGAATTGAGGAGGGGTCTTGCTCTCACTGGGCAGCTGGGGCCCATGGCCAGTTTGGCAGGTTCCAATTTACTGGATGCTTTTAAAAATTTCTGTTTTGGATCCAGTTTGGACTGAAGCCAAATGGAAAGAAACACAAAGAGGATTCCCAGCAGAGTGGGAAGGCTGGTCAGTGGTTTGTGCCTGTTCCTGGGCTGCTCCAAAGATCAAGCTCCCATCAGCCTTCACAGTGATGCTCTCAAGTGATAGATATTCTGCTCCCATATGGCTGTTCAAGGCATTTATTTGGGTGCTGCTTGCTGGGAGTCCTGCCCATTCCCTTTTCACAACCACCAGAGATCCCATGGGATCCTGTCTCCAGAACAAATCCAGCAGAAACGCCACCCTTGTGTTCCTGGGAAGGCAATGGGGGCAGTTCAGTGGCTATGTTTCTGTGGTGTGATGGGTAGAGAATCACAGATTCATGTGCACAGGGATTTGTTCTCAGTAGTTTGAGCTCCAGCCACCTCTTGCCCCTCCCCAGCATTCCCACTGTGCCCAGGCCCTTTCTGCTGTTGCACCTGCCCTGATGGGACCCCAGCACACCCCTCCTGCCCAGTGACTCCACTCAGGTGCAGGCTGGAGAGTTCCCACACATGAAGGGGGTGGATTTTGGGTCTCACTTGTAGCTCTCTGTCATTGCACCCTGCCTGCAGGTTGGATTATTCAGGAATTGCACTGCTGATCATGGGGAGCTTCGTCCCGTGGCTCTACTACTCGTTCTACTGCTCCCCACAGCCAAGACTCATCTACCTCTCCATCGTCTGTGTCTTGGGTATCTCTGCCATCATTGTGGCACAGTGGGACCGATTTGCTACCCCCAAGCACAGGCAGACCAGAGCAGGTAGGAGCTTCCTCCTCCCATGAGTCCTAGGAGGCACTTTGGGCAGATCCCATTTTGGATAAGCTCTGGGCACCTGCAGGATTCATTCTCCCTGAGCAGCACAGGACTGCAGGGAGTGGCCTCCTGCCTTCTCTTGCTGTGCTGGAGATTCATCTCCTGAGCAGAGCCTGAGGTCTGGAGTTTAAAAATAGCCTTGGGCAGGCTGGGGCTGTGCCTTTTCTGCCTTCTCTGGGAAGCATTTTAGCAGCAGGAACCTGCAGCTGGGGTGGAGGAGGAAGGCATTCCTGAGCTCTTCCCTGCCAGGGACACACTGGCTGGTCCCTGCCTACCTGGGGGTGGAATGGTGGGCTGCCTCCAGCCCCACTTCCCAGTTTACCCCAATTTTAATGGCAGGTCCCATCAGCCTTGCTGAGCACCAGGAGACACCTCCCTCCCCAGCTCCCAGGAGTCCTGAAGCAAATGTCTCTCAGAACACTGTCCTGGCTATATGAGTGAGGAAAGACCATGCTGAGACAGAGGCCAGCTGAGAGCCCTCAGATGAGGGCAGGGGACAGGCAGGATTCATGTCCCCATGGCTCCTCCCCATTGCATCTTGTGCCTCCAGTACAATCAGGATCCAGCCGAGTGCCACCAAGAGCCTCTCCTGGCCAGTGTCACTATGGTGCCACTTGTTCTCTGCCAACTCATCAGAAGCCAGAGTTGAACCTTTCAGCTGCTGCTGAGCTCCTTCCTCAGGAGCTGCAAGAGATTACTTTATTGGAAAGGGTGGCTGTGTTCCTGGTGCAATCCAAAAGGCTGGCACCTTCCAAAATGTCCCTTCCTGTAGCCGGGAGTGGGAGCTGCTGCAGCCCCACATAAGAAACACTGGGCGGGTTCTACCCAGTGAGCACAGGGGCAGTTTTACCTGGGATATGGAGCTGTGGGTCCCTCATTTTGTGAAGGATAAATGCCATTAGGACTGGAGAAGTTTAAGTGTTTGGACAACGCTTTCTCACCTGAGTGAGATTGTTTGGGGGTCTCCAGTGCAAGGCCAAGAGTTGGATACAATGATCCTTATGGGTCCATTCCAGCTTGAGATATTTCATGAATTCAGTGAAGAAAAGCTGCTTCCCTAGCACAGGATGAGGGATCAAGGGGAGTTTGTGGGAGGAGTGGCTCCCACTCCACATTTGAGCTCTTTTCCCTGACCTCCTCTCTGGGCCACAGGCGTGTTCCTGGGGCTGGGACTGAGTGGGGTTGTGCCCACCATGCACTTCACCATTGCCGAGGGCTTTGTGAAGGCCACCACGGTGGGACAGATGGGCTGGTTCTTCCTCATGGCTGTGATGTACATCACGGGCGCTGGGCTCTACGCTGCCCGCATCCCTGAGCGCTTCTTCCCGGGCAAGTTCGACATCTGGGTGAGTGTGGGGGTGAACAGTTGTCTGGGGGCAGCTCTGGGGTCAGGGGAGGGGGCACTAAGGGGCTGGAGGCTGGGGGTGTCTGGCTGGCAGGCAGACCTTGAACAGGTTCTGTGCGTGGGCAGGGCAGGGCAAAGTACAGGGCAGAAATCGCTGCTGGGTGCAACAGAGCGGGGAGCAGAGCACAGAGGACAGTCCTGGAGCAGTGAGGAGGAAGAGGAGGTGTTGGTGATGTTGCTGTACCCTTTGGTGTGGTCTAAAGGCTTTTTTTGCTTCCCTGCAGTTCCAGTCTCATCAGATCTTCCACGTGCTGGTAGTGGCTGCAGCCTTTGTCCACTTCTATGGGGTGTCTAACCTGCAGGAATTCCGCTACGGCCTGGAAGGGGGGTGCACAGATGACTCTCTCCTCTGAGAGCACCTGGTTTTAGTACAAGCTTCCTAAGTGCTTTTTAAACTCTTGTCTTTGCTAAAATCAAAGGAAGACTCAAAACCATTTGGGGTTGTTGGTTTGTTGGGGTTTTTTTTTAAAGAAACAAAAAAACAAGAAACTGATAAATCCTTTAGTAAAGTTGTTGACCAAATCCTCACTCCGTTCCCCATGCACTGCACTGGGGCTGCAGGGGGGCTCCCAACTCCTCCAGACAGTGTTTTAGCTGCACCGGGATCACCTGCTGCTCTGACAGCACAGGGAACAGCTCCCTGCTCACACACAGCTGAGCACATCCTGCTCCTCACGCACCAGGAGTTTTGCATATCCCCCACAGCAGTGCCTGGCTGGGGCAGCCCCAGGCATGGGCACACGCTCATGTAATTTAAAGTTTTAATTGTCCTTTTTGTTTTGTTCTGTTTTCCATGACAAAGTAATGTAAACATAAATAAAAGAATATTTAATATTTAATACTAAGCTTTAAGACAACATGCTGCCACTGCAGTCCTTGGCTCCCTCACTGTCGGGAGCAGGGACAAATGACAGTGTTGTAGGGAATGTAGAGCTGCTGTAGCTGATTGAAATAAAAAGGTCAATAGTTCAGTGTCAGTGCTGTGTCTGTGTCCATTTTTGAGGTGCGTAAGAGAGGGCTCTGGGCACCCCAGGAGCAGGGCAGGGGCCCAGGTCAATGGGATCTCTCTAGCTGCAATGGACTCTGGACTGGGCTGGAGTAAAACAGGAAAGGGGTGTCGTGGTGATGACAGGGCAAGAAACACGGCCCTGGCTGGTGACAGCTCTGGGACTGTGACTTCCTTTGGGGCTCAGTAGGGCAGGAGAGGTGTCACAGCCTGTCTAGGGTGGGGACAGTGCAGGACTATGCCCCAGTCCGAGGCTTCTCCTGGTGCACAGGGGGGTTTGGAGGGGCAGAGATCAGCACAGTTAAGCCCAGCTCAGGCAGCTGAAGGCCACTGTTTGACCTATGGGTAAAGGAGTGTAGGCAGAGCAACTACTGCCCCTGTGCCACCTGTCCCTGCCATCCCCCAGAGTTGAGAGTGTCCTTTGGCTGAGCTGTTTGGATGTGGCCCAGCTTTGGAAATCCCCCAGGCTCCTGTGTACTGTATCAGGAACTGCCAGCAAGCAATGGCATCAATGAGTTAATTAACGAGTTCCAACAGAAAACCTCACTGGATGTGATTTTGTAACTGCTGGCAAGAGGGAGGGGGCTTCCACAGCTGGAGTTTAAGGACAAAACCACAGAGCAGATGTGGTAACTGCTCAGGCCAAGATCTGAGGTGAAAAACAGGAGGCTGTGGTGGCAGCAGGTGGAATGCTTCCCCCCTCCAGCCCCATAACCTAAATCCAACATGGAAGAGGATACATTCCAACTGTGTTCACTGCAGGTGCAACATCCCAGAAGAAACTCCAAGGCTTGTGGGACTCAGATTCAGTCAAAGAGAGAATTGTGAGTTTCTAGCCAGGCAGAAGCCTGGGAAAGAGCTGGAGAAGAATGTAAATAATTCTTTCTCTCTCTTGTTTTTCACATTGTTTATAGTTAAGTTCTATCACTGTGCGTCAAGCACTCTGCACCAATAGTGTGGGTTGTTTTCACTTCAGAACCAATGGATTTAATCCTTGCGGAGCTCTGTATAAAAGAGTGGTGCATTTTGAATAAATCGGAGTTTTACTCTCAGCAGCCTTCCAAGTCTCTTCATTCCCGTTCTGCCTCGACAGCGATATCTGGTGACCGCCGACGTGGAATTATACCTTACCCTGAGGAACGGGGTCTGGTGACCCCAACGTGGCGCTGCACCCTGCCCTGGAGGGACGGGGTCTGGTGACCTGAAGTGGAATTGCAGCCTCGGTAGCAGACCTGAACCTCAACGTCTTGCGGGGGCTCTCCTCTGGCACGGTTCCACGCCAACAGCCTGGAGGCTGTGAACGGACACCTCTGCCTTCTTAAAGAAACGTAACGCTGAAGCCGCATGCCTTCCGGAGAAGATCCTGTTTGGACTGTGGGCCGGCTTTTAAAAGCCGGGATTGTGCGGGATAGGTTTTCCCTGGAATAGCAGACTGTCGGACTCTTGAAGTTGACATCTGCTAAGGTTCCCTAAAAATGGGAGACCAGCCATCTGCAGTTGAGCGAGCAGTCTTGACTGCCTGGCGAGCCAGCATCCCTCTTATCGGAGCTTGGCTTTCTGAGGAAGACCTGGTCAGACTTTTGAGTTGGGCTAGGGACCGGGGATTTTCTGCAAATCCTAGGTCCCCCTTTGATTGTAAAGTCTGGCTCAACTTGGGACGCTGTCTCACGGCATAAATGCGCAAAGGAGACACCGCTGCGTCCGACCTGGCTGGAGTCTGGGCGGGCATCGACATAGCCTTGGACACAGGCAGCAGGTCCGACTGGAACATTTCGGGATCCCGAATGCGGACCGCGCCGCAGCCCGCGCGGCGGCTGGCTGCGCGGGCGCACCCTGCCCAGAGCACGGTGCCGCTGACACCGCCCGCCCCTCCCGAGGCAGCCGGGGTGCCTTTGCCGCAGCTCTCAGCTTCAGCACAGCCGGCGGTGCATGGACTGCGCGGGGCGGCCCCGGGCTGGCGGGAGCCGCCGCCCGCGGCCCCGCAGCCCCCCGCTTTCCAAACTGCATTTGCGGGGGGCTGGAACTGCCCGCGGCACCGGGCGCAGCTGGGGCGGATGCCGCCCCCTCGACTCTTCAGCTGATGGAGCCTGCACAGACGCCACTGTAGCCTTTGGTCCCGCCCCTGGCACGCCCACCGCCACCCGCAGGAATTTCGATTGTGCCGGCGGGACGGACTTTGCCTCCCGGTTCACCCCTCTGCACGCCATGCGGACTGGCTGCTTTGATTTCATTTACGGTGCCAGTATCAGTTGTCCAACAGCACGTCTTGGGCGGGACACCCACGTTGTTCTCTGCCCTGCCCACTGTGAGATGGACTCCTGCGCCGGGGATGGTGCTTGCCTTCCACGCCACACGTGCCATGCCGCCGCCCCTGCCGACAGCGGGCTTCACTGTCATGTCCACCGCTGCTCCAGCAGCAGCAGCAGCCTCAATTCTGCCCACCCCGGGACCACCGGTATCACTCCCGGGAGAAGCCACTGCAGCCGCGGCGCTGCCCGCTGCGGCTCCGGTGCCCACGCTGCCTGCTGCGTTCCAGCTGCAAGCGTCAAGAGCGCCGCCGCCGACTTTGGAATCGGCGGAAGTTGCGCGGCCGCCGCCGCTAGGAGGCGCGGCCGCGGCGCCCGGCCCGCTCACCGCGGGGCGGGGCGGTCACGGGGCGCAGGCTCCCGCCGCCGCCCCGCCTGAAGCGGCTCATCAGCAGCGGCTCCGCCCTGCGATCCAGCGGCCAAGAGCCCCGTGCTGGACAATGAGTCCAGCCCTTTGTCTCCTCTAGACTGTACTGAGCTCTCCCACTCCGAGGGAGAGGCGACAGGAGGGGGCACCGGCTTGGCCAGCAGCAGCGCCACTGCTGCTGGTCCCGGAGCTGGGAATGAGTGGAGCGGGGCTGCAGATCAGGGAGCTGGGCAGCGATCGGTTGTATTCCACAGCAGAGCAGACACTCTGGGACAGGACAGCAGTCCCTTGCACTGGGCAGGCTTGGGTGGTGCAGGGAGCCTCGGAGCCTGGGTGAAATTTTATATTCCCAGGGAAACAGCCCCTTCTCGCACCCTGCGTGTCCTGCTCTTGTGGTTCAGAGCGGGATGCCGAGAAGCTGTGGGAAGACCCATGGCTGGGGGCGGTGGGGGAAGGGCAGAAACTCAGAGGAACTGAGTTTTTCAATTCCTATTTCTCACAGCCTGTTGGGAGTGTGCACTGAAATATAAGGTTGGAAGAGGTTGCTCATTTATCGATGGTCTTGGAGTGTCCCAGGGACCCAAATTCAGGGGCCCCAGGAAATACCAAAGAGAAGCTGGGGGCCGACCTGGGTGAATCTTGGCTCAGCAGAGAGCCTGAACTCCCCACCCCGCCCGGCCCCCACGGCTGGGTCTGGGACACTTGGCCCTGCCCACGGGGCCGGGTCCTCCGCCTTGCCTAGCATCGCTGGGTCCTAGAGCCCGCCGCTGGCTTTCAGGAAAAAAAAAAGGCAGAAAGAGCCGTGTTTTCACTAACAGCTCAAAGTATTGGAAAGCCACGAATCAACCAGAGATTTCCTGGCATTTCAGAGGTTTCTCAAGTGTTGTGAATTTGGTCCTTTCTGAATTGGGTCCGTTTCACTCAATTGTTTTGAAAGCTTTGAGGATGCAATTTGGACCTGAGTTCAATTTCATCACTCAAGCTGTCCATTGAGGACAGGATTGCATAGGCAAAGCCTTGCATGATTCTTTTATTAAGTGCACACACCTTGTAAAAGCAATTCTGATGAATGCCAACCAAGGCTTCACCTGCTGCACCTTACTGGCTGGGACAAATCCCAGATACCTAAATGCTTTGCAGCTGTGGCAAACAGATGTTACTCATCTTGCCAAATTCAAATTTGGCTGATTTGGGTATGTGCACATGTTGTAAATACCTTCTTTTCTATCATGTCATGCTCACACTGGGAAATGGGTTTTGACAAGTTGGACTGCCAGTCCTTTGGCAGTCTGACAATGAGTTGCTACTATCTTAGAGTTGGTAACTGATTCCTTGAAAATTATAGGTTTGGAAGCTCTTTGACTTATCTGAGCCAACATCCAATGAGGTTTTGAATTATCAACTAGTGAACCTCGGAGCCGTGTTTGTCCTTTTCTCTGCAAGGTGCACTGACAAACACCGCCTCCTTCTTTAAAAAAAAAAGGGTGATGTGGGACTCAGATTCAGTCAAAGAGAGAAATGTGAGTTTCTAGCCAGGCAGAAGCCTGGGAAAGAGCTGGAGAAGAATGTAAATAATTCTTTCTCTCTCTTGTTTTTCACATTGTTTATAGTTAAGTTCTATCACCATGCGTCAAGTACTCCGTACCAATGCTCTGGGTTGTTTTCACTTCAGGACCAATGAAATTGGTCCTCATGAAGCTCTGTATAAAAGAGCGGTGTATTTTGAATAAACTGGAGTTTATTCAGCAGCCTTCTGATCAGTCTCTTCATTCCCATCCTGCCTCAACAGCAACAAAGGCTTTCACTCCAGTCTGTGTCAAAAGGATGACAAGACTCCATTTGGTCCTTGTCTCAAACCTCCTTGTATTCTATCAGACATGTGTAACATTACAGCAGTGGAATATATCAGGAATAAATAGATTTTCTTTTCTAAAAGTTCTCCTGAGCAGTTTGACATTGAGAAATGCTGCAGGTCCTCCTGGCATGGTGTGTAAGGGACAACCACTGGTGTAAGTACAAACCCCCTCCACATCCTCCAGGTAGGACCACTCAGGAACAGGGAAGGAAGAGGAGGAGGAGGAAGAAGAAGAGGAGGAGGTGGTTGGGGACCATCATTGATACTGTCGGTAGTCGCTGAACGGGGGTGGCTGGAGCTGGGATGGATCCTCTGACAATTGTGGGCCTGGAGGAGGGACAGGGGAAAAGGTAAATAAATACCAAAATGCAGGAGATTCTTCCTATTAACAGAATTCACAGCTGGTTTGTTTAAATAAATCCCTCTTAAAATGAATCATAAAC